ATATCTCGCTTTGCATGTAATGCGTCTATCTCATATATTGGTTTCACCTTTTGAGTTCCCTCACTGACATAAATGAACATTTGCACAATATTCTAATTTTTCAAGTTTCACCTGTATTGTACAGATGCAGGTGGAGTATGTAAACATTTTAACATTTCCTTTATGCATAGGATGAGAATGAGGGAATTTTTGTTTCTCCTGGGCTGCATCTGTTCACAGTAGGACAGGGTTTGGTTTGGTTTGGTTCTTCCCTTCTTCTCAGTGTTGCAACATCACCCAAAAAGAAGACAATCATGGATTGTCTTCAAACTGCTTTTGAGACATTGGACTGAGGAAACAGTGGACGTACTCTTATAACCTTTTGCTAGATCAAGAAATAAAAATGAAAATTATAATTTAAAAAAAATTAAAGAAGGAATGGATACCTTGGAAATGTGCATTTTTAGTTACAGCAGTGAATTAATGATATATTGGAGATGTTTTCAAAACCAGCAGGAGAATGTAAAAACAGTTTTCACTGGTAGGATAAGAAGATAATTGTCCAGCCTGCACAGGTTTGGGGCTGAGTGAAGCAACCATAGAGCAGTATAAAGAGCAAACCTATCATGTTGCTGAAACCCGAACCCTGATACACAGAATAATCCCCATCTCCTTTGACAGTAGAGGTGGGTAAGAGTCAATAGATGCACTGTTCTATTGGAACAAAACCACATACCAATCCTAAAATTCATGGGTGAAAGCTGTTGGCACATGGCCTGGGGAAGGCAGATGTGCCAGTGCATAGTTTTGGAATTTTGAGAGCAAACTCTTGAGGTTGCCCAACTTTCTAGCCCTCCAAGATGTTCCTCAGGTTAAGAGCACATATAATGGGTATAATTCCAAATAAAGCACTGGGTTGCAGGTACCAATTGTTTTTATTATCTTAAAATGACGATGGTTTTATGAGAAGTGCAAAGGCATTCTTGTAAATAAAATTGATGCTGTAAGCTTTGCAACATGCCATCTTCCCCTTTAAACAATGGTATAAAAATAACTACAACCAAGTGGGATTTGGGCCTGGTGGGCACTGATATTTGAGAGACTTATTGCATGCTTGAGCATATGCCGGGCGAATTGTTTCTTCTTCCTCATTGCTTTATCTCCTATTAGGACCTATATTAGAAACCTCTTTCTCCAGCTTTATGAAGATTAAGAGGCGAATATTAGACTGTTGTAGGTTTTGCTTGGTGACATCTGCATGTCTCACCATGCTGATGAATATTAGCTGTTGGGTGAAACTAATGTTCTATTGATAGCAGATCTCCAGATTCTGAGATAAAAGCAATTTCCAGCAGTGGGGCATAAAGAAATGTAACTCAATTGGAAATGCAAAGCATACTCTTATCAGTGAACAATGAGTAACACATACAGTACATGAAACAAACATCCTACTTATCCTAGTGTCATAGTCTCCTGGCTTCCTTAACTATTGCTAGCTTTGAGAAGATGTTATTACAAAATAGTATCCTATTTCAATTAATCTCCTTGATACTATAATAATAGTAATGGGCTGTTCTCAGTATTTCATATCAGTTGTAGCATAATAATTTTATTCTTAACTTTTTTACAGAATGCATCTCATGATAATACTCAAACTTAACATTAGGTGTCAGCATTTTACATATTATTTCGTGCGAATCAAACTACCAGGAAGCTGCAGCAAGAAAATGAAAGTTTCAAACTTTAATTTCTACAGCTGTCAATTAACATCTCTGAAATAAAAATAAAACACACC